CAGTGTGCAAGTGTGTGCTCCACAACACGAGCCACCAGTCGGTCCAGTCGCTGCTGAGCACATTACATAACTATTTGAATTTTATTTTCAATTATTTAGATGCTTTTTAATATTCTTATCTATCTCGATGCTAAAAAATAATAATATTAATATTAATAAAAATATATTATAGTAGGCAAACTATAATATTTTAACTTAGTTCGTGATTTTAACTGTGGGGGGGGGGCGAGGGGATATCAAACTTTTATCAGTCATGGATGAAAATAATATTGCCGTCGCTTGCTGTATTGAGTCCATGCTGTCAGATATACTGAAATTGAAAAAAATGGGAATGTGAAAATGGTGAATAATATTAATATTCTAATATGATAAACTAATATATAATATATTCTATGGCTAAAACAATTAAACTGATATTCACTCATCCAATACACGACGAAGAATTTTTCAACAACGATACTACAATACGCACAAAATTAAAAAAATCTTAAATGCCTGTATATACGGTGCAGTATACCGATATATTTCGTATCTAACCTGTATCTTACCTTGAATTTCTTGAATTAAAAGGTAAGCGAAACCATAATGTTATTCATTTTTATATATAGGTAAACACTGCATGACGTATTTGTCCAAGTACTGCATTATGGTATTAAAAAAAAGTACACTAGTTTAATAAATTTAGACATCAAAATATCACTTGAAAATAAAACKGAATTTATTGTTCATAAACATTTAACACTCGTGCATCACTTGCTGAAAAATAACTGGTGTTTTTTAAAATTTAAGTTCTGTTTAAGATTCATCAATCGCTTATGCTCAATTATTATTTATAAATAGTCTGAAGATCTTTTACTGCCTATACATATTTAATATGTATACCATTAACTTTGGCATTGAATTTCATAAAATAAAATCTGACAGTTTACAGAAAAATCATTTTCGCCAAATCCTGTAACTTATTTATTTATTTATTTAAACTAGGTGTTTTCGAGTTTCGATATTTTAAATAAATTTCCCTATAGTTTCACCCATATGAAATTATGAACAAACCGAACTACCGAACACACAAACACGAAAACAATAACGAGTGTATCAGTGATACCCATCACAGCGGAATAAACTAAATTGTATAACTAAACTCAAAACTTGTGCTGAAACTACATTCATTTTCTAGTACAARATCTATGGTTGTTACACTATTTTGTATAGAGTACTGTAACCTCAAAATATCCTATATTACCATAATCATCATGTAATCGTTATTATTGGGTTATATTGTTTAATTATTTACCCATACAGATATAGTACTTGAAACTTGAAAGTGTCGGTTAGATAAGTAGTAAGACTTAATTAAGCGAAAAAATGGGTGCGCGGAAGAAACATTGTAAGCTTAAAAAAGTTTAAAATTAATCTTAAACTCCCTTCTTGTTGCTGTAACTTCTTTAATATCCGAAATCCCACTCTTTAAATTTGTAATTGTTTATTGTTAACTAAGTATCATTTTTCAAGCTTGTTATAGAATGTATAATATGCTTGAACATTTTAATTTTATTGTTTTTTTGTTTGTTTTTTACAATATTTTATTCAATCTGTTGTTAAAAAAGAGCAATAAGAACAACTGAGGTAATAAACAGTTTTAATAAATAAACAAAAAGTTTAAACAAACCACGTTATAATTTTTTGAAAAATAGGTAATAACATTTAATTTCAACGTAAGTAGAACGGGGCCATTATCAGATAAAATAGGAAACAAGATCGTGGTCTTACACTCTTAGACTACACCTACGTTTAAAATGTTTACATGTATGCAAATTAATCTGAATTTTAATTTATTTGATAATTTAAACACTAAAACATGAGATTCCCGCAAATAAGATATGTATTACGTAGATATTCTTAAATTATTTAAAGGAAAACTTATAAAAACAATAATTGACAATAATTATTGACTATTGTAGACGGTAAATACGTTATGAGCGACAAAGCCGCTATTGATTTGGACAAAACTATAAGATTAGCGTGTATTGGTATGAGTGAATCAGAAAAAAAATTTAAAAAAATTTAAGAAACAGGACATAATTTTATAGAAGAAATTATTATTGAGGTTTTTAATTGCATTGACGACGCTGCCAACACTGCTTTGCGCGTTATACTTGTACAATTTTAACTGTACCTATTATAAGGTATAGTAATGTGTATAATGTCATAACATATAATATATTGTGTATTTTTGTTTATGAATAAATTTAAATATATTGTTAACGTTTTCAATAAAATATAACTCATACACACAATAATATGCCAACGGTTAGGTTAGGTTAGGTTAGGCCAACGGTATATATAATACTACGATATAAGTACCTATATTATACTATATATTTATACATCATGATATTACGTATGAATCCGGTTGTGTTTTCCGGTTTCGATATACGCGACTAAAGTCTGGTATTGGAAGTGAATCGTAATTTAAGAGTGGTAAATGGTCATTGGTCTGATATTCATATAATAAATGACTATGTGAGTAAGTATATCATATTTTATTATTATAACGTGTTCCAACTATCCAACTTYCAGTGTTTATATTCATATTTTTTACTTCATCTGGTCAGTGGTCACGGATTTTTTAAGCGGATATAAGAGTTTTTGTAGGACATTTATGAGAAAATAAATATTTTTACTAACGCGTAGGCATCACATATCATACCGACGTTTATTATGGTATGATTCATATTATTAATATATTATGTAGATGTCAGTTATTTATCATTTAAAAAAAAAAGTTTTCGTTTGTTGCGTATTTTGAGGAATTGCTGTAAGTTATCGATTTATTTCTAAGACTTATGCATACACATTTGTATACTAAGCCGTCATCGATATTCCGATGTTTTCTATGCGGTGGGTAGCTCTCGCGATTTCTACGTTATAATAAGCGACTTGAATTATGTACGTAGGTGTCT